TATAACTTTTTAATTTTATTCATCAAGATACCTGATATTCACTAGGCTTATAGACCAACTTACTAGATTTCAAATAATTTTAATATTCTCAATTAAGCTCATTTACTGAGATATAAGCTTTGAATTCTTTTTCTTTTTCTTCTTCTGCTCCTTTCTTGAAAATGAGGCAGAACTTTGTTCACTAACCATTTAAGACAGATTTATCTAAATATAAAAAGTCATAAGGAATTCATTTGACACGTTAGAATAATGATATTCAGTAATTATATTTATAGAGGTCCAAACTTTGCATTTTTTAACACTTGCAACCCTAAGAAACATATCCCAGTCTGGATGGAAGGCCATTTCTAAAAAAACATTCAATATTTTTCCAAAATACTGATATTGGACTGCAGAGTCCACTTTTTCTAAATCTGGGTGTTCTGAGAAAGAATGACCCAATAAACAGTGCCTAATTGTTTCATTTTAAAATTTCAATTATTCTAGCAACACTGATATGAGATCTGAAATCATGTCTTACTTACTAGAATTATATAAATTAGCTCTGTCAAATCCTATTCAGAAATTTCTTAACATCTAATTAAAATACAACTCTTGGATGGCCTTTCTTGAAATATCTTCTATTTCTTCTTACCGGCAAAGATTACATCGTTTTTCAGGCTCCAGGGATTCATCACAACCACCCTGAACCTCGCACTGAGACCCCATAATATGGCTTTTTGTCACTTTTATTGTCCAGTCATCGAACATATATTCTGCTTCCCTTGGAGGGGGTAACTTGGGTTCTGCTGGACGTGACATTCTGCAAAAGATCTGTAGTTTAGATAAAAATGAAAATGAAAAATAAAGGGTTATTCATAGGGAGGGAGAGGTGTTAGCTTTATTTTCATTTATTGGTTGGTGGGGGTAGGGATCAGTTTAGTTTAGTCTGTTAGTATATTGTGTGGGGTAATGTACATTCTTATTTCATGCTTACCAAGGAAGGAGCATCATCAAAAGGTCCTCCTGTGATTGGTTTGGAGAGACAAGTTGGTACAAATACTATGGGGGACTGGTGGTGTGTTTGTGGGGGATATATAGGTCTTATGATAATTCTTATTTGAATTTCCTACATCAATTCACTCGTCAAAAGAGGTCCCATAAGGTGCTGGTATGATTGATGAGACAAAGGAATACAAGGGGGTAGGGGAATAGAGGGTAGTTCTGAGGCACTGGAACAGGAAGAAACTTACCATACATTACCAGAATTACTTCCTCACACAACCATTCCCCTCCGTCTTACCACAAAAAGTTTTGAGACATTAGAATTTAAGAATTCAGCACAGACCAAACATTAATAGTCTAAGTATGCTCAAAAGAACATTCTCTCACTTTTTTTGGGGGGGGAATTAGGAAATGAACCATTGAATGTGAATGTTGAGAATTTTACTAACACTGTATTTTCCTTTACTTCTGCAGATCAATTTTCATTGCACAGGTCCATTCCTTCAACAACATCATGTAATTTTTGTGTACTTTTGTTCACCAAAGATTTATGTGCAACATTAACCTGTCAGTTGCTTGGTATTCCAGTAAAGACCAACAAGCCTACTCCATATACAGTAATACATATTCTGGTAATACAGACCTCTCTAGCAATTCATTGTCAAATAAAGAACTATAGCAGGCAAGTCTGTTGTCCTTTGCCTTTGCCTGAGCACTAATGGTATGGAGGCCATAGTATCTGCTTGGCATTACACCAATATTTCAAATGGATTTGCATAGAAAATAATGGTGAGAGAAAAAAATCTGCTTTAGAAATGAACTGTGAACATCTTTTTTACTCCTTGGATCTAGGTGTCTTGCAACCACAAATGGACCAAAATCTGAGCAACAGATTTTGGCTACTTGAATAGCGGCTTTCCTTGGAGTTTGGCTTGTAATCCAGGCCCACAAGAACACCATTCTTTGCAGTGTTATTAGGCCTTTTTCTGCATGGTGGGCAGGAATAGGATCTTTAGCATGGAAATAGTAACCTACCTGGAGCCAGTGCTCTTCCAGCCACAGATCATGGAGGTACATTCCACCCTTGTATACTGGTGGAAATAATGCAAGAACTCCTTCCCTACAAGCCCACCAAGATTGTCGTCTTGCAAGATGACTCATCATCTGCATTCATAACGAGTCATTCCCATCACCCATGCCCTCAAATGAATTTTTCATGTCACATTCCTGTCATCCTGGCCCTTTACCAATTTTTTTTCATAGCATGAGGATCATATCTCCTGGATCTAATGGGTTACTATTCAAAATCTTTTGTAAAATTAAAGCTTTCCATAGAGGTGACTGTTTAAACTATTGGCATGCAGTATATACACTGTCAATTGTGTTTCTTTCTGTTGATTTTGTTCAAATATCGATCACTTCACAATTGCTTAGTTATCAAGGAGACAATTACTAGGCCTAGGTCTCAACTGTTTATCTCACATCTTTAGTTTTGGTGAAAAAAAATATATATACTGTGATTGTCATTACTGACAATATCATTATTATTATACTGTTATAAACAGTACCAAGTGTAATTGATATACAAAAAATTCCTTTCCAAAACTCAACAAACATAATAAATGGGTAATAAAACAGGTAGGTCTAGTAGGTCTAGTCCTTGGTAATTAAGCACTTGTGAAGCCATATATGTGTAAACAAAATTAATGCACTCGATTCACTGTGGATATGCCATGTATAAATACTATCTCAGTATCTAAACTTTAAAGGAAAGCTGCAGGGACTTTTTCTAGTACCTGTATTACCTTTATTCTATCCAAATTTATTTGACTTGTGATTTATGGTGATTTATTTGACTTGTGATTATGGCCTACAATCTCAAAAATGAGATAAACAATCACCATGGTCTCTGCTTCAAGTTTGGCAAAGGCCAACAAAGCTCAACCAATTACATTTTGGCAAGAAAGAGCTTTAACTATTTTCTAATCTGAAAATGAATCTACTATGGAGGCCTACAAGCTCTATGCTCCTACAATATACATGGCAGAGGTTTGTTGTTGTCTGACAAGTACTGATAGGCCAATGAAGGTGTGCCAATGACAGGTGCAAGAGTGTCTTCTTGACATTTACCTCCATACATATCATTACTTTCAGTGTAATATATCCAGGTAATGCTAGTAAGTTATAAGATATAAAATCCCATAACAAGCTTTGCAGTTTGGCATGTACATTTCAAGCTTTTGCACAAACAAAACTAAATGCTTTATTCATTCATAACAGAACATGAGGAAAACTATGGTAAATGCCATGTGAGTGCAAAGACAACACTATCAGCCAAGCCTCACAGCAGAACATGGATGTTGGCACTTTACTATGCATTGTAAAGTAATGACATAAAAATACAGAACATTTCAGTATATTATAAACCTAAATTATTTTACTCTGGGATCTGATGACTTGCAATACTTTAAACCTATCTCTATTTGGAAATATAGAAAAATGACAAGATCAAGCTTTTAACAAACATACACAGCACTACTAGCTATAAAAAAAACTAGGTCAGATCCAGGGAGGGTGTATGTCCCCCCTATTTTTTGCAGGTTTTTTTTTTTTTTTTTTTTTGTATTTTTGTTCTTGCTTAAGTTCCTTGTATCCACACAAGGAATAGGTCTATGAATACCAGAGCATTCAACAGAAGCTTGGATGAAGAATACATTAATATGTTCTCAAGCCAGTAACGACAGTAGACAATATAGTGACTGATTCTGTGTATATCATTTACATTTTACTCCGCAATTTCCCTGATACCTTTCATGCCCTTCCCTACTATCGGGGTTAAGAAAATAGGCGTTGGGGGGGATTCCGTGCAGTAAAACTTATATATTTGGATTATGGACAGTGACATGAATCCAATGATACCGAAACCGTCGCATTCCGTGATGCAGACATATTAGAAAAAAATTACCGTACTTGCTTTTGCCTCCAAGCCTTCAGAACTCTAACAAGAGGGAATCAATTATCCATATTCTACATTCTGGGATAATAGAGCTTCTAGACTACCCACAAATAAGATGCCTTTTGACCATGTATTTGAATATACTACTTCAATAAATGCACTTATATTCACTTGACATTGTTTACCTCGTGCTCAAATTTCTTCAAAAGGCGAATCTGACATGCCACTACAATCAAGTAAGAAGTTACATTTAATAAATATAAGTCATAAGAGCAAAACACAAATTTCCTTCATCAACGTTGCACTTCTCAGAATGAATAAAACATTAAAATATCCATTTAAGTTAGAAATGGCGTTTTCTCACAGTATAATATACCTTTTGACAACGTATGCCTTATGAAATGTGAATTTGTATTGCTTGTAAACACACAGTCTTGAAGCAGGATTCTGTAATCGAGGTTTCTTTTGGCATACAATTCCAATAAGATAAGGTGCACCAATTCACAGAGACAATATGGCAATAAAGAATTTTATTGTGATGTTTTCACTTATAAATAAGGAATCATGAATGCGAAATTATACTAGAAAAATGCATGAACTCAGAAAGTAAACCGTATTTAGTGATAATCAAATTCGTCTGCTTGTGTCATATCACGCGTTTTTACGTGAATAGAAGTGCGAGATACTAAGCATTTCGACCTTAAATATATGTTCTTCCATAGTACAAAGGGACATGGAGCAATCAGAAGTCATTTGATTGTAATTTGAGAGAGAAAATAATTATGTGACAGAAGAAGCGATTTCGATCACTGTCACTGCTTTTTTTCTAGCATGAAATATATTTTGCCAATTATAGTTTAAGAAAGGGAAACAATGAAATTGATAACTTTATAATCTAGCTGGAAATAAGCAATATATTTTTTCTGAAAACCCATTCTTTGCGGCTAGTATTTTATAGATAAATTTACTATATGATTTTGACGTTATGAGGTTTTGATAAAGACAATGATCATAGTATTTATGCTAAAGAAAAAAAAAAAAAATGACGATCATGGTATTA